GTTTTGGTTGCATTCATTATTTGAAAGCGTTGGTCATGAGTGAGATAATTATCCCACTAGCCTTTCAGTTGACCAGTAAATCCAGCAATAATCATTTCTGCTATTGCTCTATCTGTATTTTTATTAACCTTACAGATAGTACTGTACATAAGCATTCTATGTACTGTTGTATAGATCTGTCTTTCAGCAAGACCATCTATATTCCATTCGTATATATCTGACCCACTGTAACCTTGGTGGTAGTGGTCATTGTCCTGTTCTTCTATTAGAACATCTTGGGGAGTTGGTCTAGGATAGTAGAACATTCTTTGGTATGGTTTGCGAGCATATTTCTCAGAGATTTTATTAATCCCATCATCTACCTTTAAATCACTAGTAGACGCATGCTCTAAACTTAGAGGGTTAGCTCTAAATTCTCCAAACTTCTTATTAAGAAGTTCCTCAATATCATCAAGACTTTTTAATTTAAATTCTCTTACCTCAGGGGGTGATTGGATACTAGTAGTAGTGATTTGCTCTTTACCTTTAGTATCGTTATGTTGGATTTTTTGGACTTCAGCTATAAGCTTGTCTAACTTCTCATGAATCTTGATAATCTGTTCACCCAGAATACTCACATACATATTAGTATAATTGTTTTGGGTAAGCATGATATTCAGATTTTTAGCCGTTATTGTGGCAACATCATTTTCAAATATTTTTGAAAAAGCAGTACAGTAAATGATTTTATCGTTTCCCCTATGTGAAAGGATTGTTGAGGAGGAAAAATAGAATTAACAATGTTTCCATTAGTGAGCGTATAATCTCTTTCTAACACAGAAACATAGTTATAAACATGTTTTGACATAAGCCAAGAAACAAAAGCAATAATTTTATTTTTCTTGCTAATATCCTCATAAAAATCATTTCTAAAGAATTGTATTAATTCAGCAGCCATTGTTTTCATGAAACCATTTTATGAAAACAACCCATATGGGTTTTAGAAATTCTTCTAAAATCATTTTTCTTGCCGGTGAACCCGAACTAAAATCTATTTGGTTTTCAACCATTATTAACACCATTTAAAAAATCCATTTCGGATGCAGTTGGTTCAAGATCTGTATTAATCTTGACGATATTATCACTACTGATGCTAATATCATTTATTCTATTACTTTCTCTAATCTGAGATGTGGATTCTCTAGATGGAAAATCTACCACATAATCAATTGGAGAAATATATGAAAATTTTGATCTAGTTAACCTAGATGATAAACTGATATTATCAGTTTGTACAGGTTCATTGAACCTGATTTTAACAGTGGCATCTGAGGTTTGTTCTATTTCTGTAACCTTAGTATTACCAGTGTTTCGAGGGGCAACTGCTTCCTCTATGACTCATTCTTTAGGGAAATCAATTTCATCCCATTTAATAGGTCTTCTGGTGGTTACTTTGGATTTACCAAAATTTGTTTCTATAAGAATAATCTCATTTTTGAAATCCATAATTTTGCACATAGGATTCAAAGTATATAAAGGTTTGTAATAAATCCTATAACAGATACATATAACTTCTGTACCAGGCAAATAATCATAACCATGTAATTTAATGCTAAGTATTAAAGCATTTAAAGAATTCTTATCATTAAGAGAAATTTGCAAATTAGGATAAGCATTAAAATAAACTAGGCCATAGGCCAAACTGGTTTGCACAATCCATATAAGAGACTTTTTCCAGTTCTGATTTCTGCCATCTCTGAGGGCTGCTATAAAGCTTTCAGGTAAGCCTCTTAAAGTAAGTGGCTTAAAGGCGACTTGTATTAAGCCTATATGTATGAATCTATGTGAATCCTTATAAGGGGATAAATCACTTTCAGATAATAATCTGAACGTGACATGGTCACTATCTATAGTGATAGTCTCCTTAGTAGTTTTAACTACTTGTTTTAAACTTATTCTTTTAAAGGTACCTAACTGGTATATTACCTTAGGCTTGACTAAAGGTATTGTCCACTTATTAAGCAGATCTAATTGTTGGGGCAATTCATATTCTTCTTTTCTACTGTTTTTAATAGTAGTCTTCTTCCTAATGATATTCATTAAGAAAATAATGTTAAACTTAGCTTCTAAGGTTTTCTACAAATATGGCTCTGATACCAAGGAGCATACAGGATCGCTTCCGAATGAGGCCAGGAATTGAATTAACTCTAGTCCTGACTAGCTACTAACCTCTAAGTAAACCTTAAACCACGGTGTTTCTAATAACCCTTCAACGGTCACCTGCCTAAACGGGTCCAACTGAACACCAACAGTTAGGTTGGCCTAACCAAGGTTACTGTCGAAATTGGTAACTGCCTTGTCTATATAGTCCTTAACCAATAAACCTTATCGGGATGATACAGTAAACTCCTAGCTACAAATACATGCTTAGTAAAAGACCCTTGAATACTAAGTTTAACACTTACCTGTTTAGCCTATCATTTAGGCTAACAGTATTGCAAAATATACCAAGGAGGGTACAAGATCGCTTCCGTTGAGGCCAGGAATTGAATTACAAGAACTCCAGTCCTGGCTAGCTACTAACCTCTAAGTAAACCTTAAACCACGGTGTTCCTAATAGCCCTTCAATGGCCACCTGCCTAAATGGGTCCAACTGAACACCACCGGTTAGGTTGGCCTAACCATGGTTACTGTCGAGATTGGTAACTGCCTGGTCTATATAGTCNATAACATATTAATTGATATAAGTCGAGACGTTTTGTTTTTAATATATATACATGCATCTAAGTAAGTTATAAGTCAATGAATCAATTTACAAGTGTATCAATACCTAAATGAATCCGGCCCTGTGTTCTGAGCGCTTCATATTTATATATATATATATACACACACACACACATACACACATACACACGCACACAGACACTTCACTGTAATAATATAACGTATATATAACTTGTTATAGTTTATGTTAGTGTGTATATATATATAACACACACACTTCGTGCTACTTTAACTACATATATAGCATGTTATAGTACATGATATTGTATTCATTATTTGTATTGTAACAGAGTTAATGAATTACATTCATTCATCACTAGGCTATAAGTCGATGAATCAATTATAACATATCAATTGATATAAGTCGAGACGTTTTATTTTTAATATATATACATGCATCTGAGTAGGTTACAAGTTGATGAATCAATTTACAAGTGTATCAATACCTAAAAGAACCCGGCCCTGTGTTCCGAGCGCTTCATGTTCTTATATATATATAGACACACGCATGCTTCGTTGTACTACTTAACTACATATATAGCATGTTATAGTACATGATATTGTATTCATTATTTGTATTGTAACAGAGTTAATGAATTACATTCATTCATCACTAGGCTATAAGTCGATGAATCAATTATAACATATCAATTGATATAAGTCGAGACGTTTTATTTTTAATATATATACATGCATCTGAGTAGGTTACAAGTTGATGAATCAATTTACAAGTGTATCAATACCTAAAAGAACCCGGCCCTGTGTTCCGAGCGCTTCATGTTCTTATATATATATAGACACACGCATGCTTCGTTGTACTACTTAACTACATATATAGTATGTTAGAGTATATTTTAGTATATTCATCCCTTGTATTACAAAAGTGTTAACGGATTACATTTATATTATTTAGATAGTAAATACAAAAGTGATTTTTAATTTTGACCAATGTTGACCTGAAAAGAGACCAATTTTGGTCGCTAATTTTTCAGAAATTATATTTAGCGACCAAAGTTGGTCGCCAATTATCCAGAAATTAAAATTAGCGACCAAAGTTGGTCGCTAAATTTAAATGAGATTTATTTATGTTTTATATAATATTTAAAATAATAATATAATTGTTAAACGTTAGAACTGGGTCCCAGATTAGCGACCAAAGTTGGTCTCTATCTGCTTCTCCTTTCGTAAGCGACCAACTTTGGTCGCTAACTATGAATTATATTTATTTATATTTTATAATTTTTTTAAAATAAGAATATAATTATTAAAATTTTATAACTTGGTCCCATATTAGCGACCAAAGTTGGTCTCTATCTGCTTCCCCCTTCATGAGCGACCAACTTTGGTTGCTAATTTTAAATTATATTTATTTATATTTTATAATTCTTTTTAAATAATAATATAATTATTAAAATTTTATAAGTGGGTCCCCCTTTAGCGACCACAACTGGTCGCTAATTTCAGTATTTCTTTGACCAAGCAAGTTTGACCAGTCCGGTCAACATTTTGACGAAATTATCGACCAAAAAGCGACCAACCTTGGTAGCTAATGTATTTAGAATAATTATTTAATTATTTTCTCCAATTTAGCGACCAACTTTGGTCACTTTTCTTGAAAGACCAATTTTGATCGCCAAATTTTGGTCTTTTTTTGTTGGATTTCTAGTAGTGTCACTAGTGTTCATTTAAAAGAATGATTTCATCTTGTACTATATTTTCAAAAGATATCATTTTAATAATATAAATGGCGAATAATGTGTACTAACATGAAATGAGTAGAAGTAATTACAATAGTTCATTCGGTATGAGTTGCAACGTCTCGTTGCATTTCGGAACATGGCACAAAGCCAATGAGAGACTCCTCCCCAAATATTTCGTAGGAATAAGGGGGGAAGGAGGAGGGAAAAGGAAAAAGTAGAATTTGTTATAAAACAATAAAAGAATAATATTGTAAAAAAAAGTAGAAAGAGAATTCTTATTGATTTGAGATGATTTATAATGAAGTAGATCCTTTTATTTATAGGAAAAAAAATAACTTAACCACCAAGTAACAAATCCTAAGATTTCTCTAAATATATAAATTTATCTTAAATAAAATTCTATTTATAAGAGAATCATCTTACACTCTCAATAGTAATAGTTAGGGATCCAAAATAAAAACAAACGTAAAATCATCTTAAACTCCCAACAGTAATAGTTAGGGATCCAAAATAAAAGCTAAAACGTAAAGTGGCCGAGTCGTTCAAGGGGTGTCAAAGCAATTTATACTTCTATAACCCATGAAACGCTGCGTTTAAACAGGAAAAGAAATCTCGAATCCTAAGACGTTCGTCTTTGTCAAGATTGTCAGTTCGCAATTCTCATGCGCCAGCAGCCATGGCAGCCAAATCAGCTGCTGCTATGCGCAAAAATTCACATAGATCGGATCATTTCTTCCAAAAACTTATGAAACATCCTAAATTACCTTTTGCTTTCGCTTTGCTCTTCGCTGATTCCATCCTCGTTACGCTAATCATCGCCTACGTTCCATGTAAAGTTTCAGCCTTTTCACAACTTCCTTTCCAATTATTCTCTTATATGTATATCAAATCATAATTTAATTAGTGAAGTGATTCATTACTTTTTTTAGATACCAAAATTGATTGGGATGCTTATATGTCTCAGGTGAGAGTTCAATTAAATTCAACATTTTGATCTGTATGTTTCTCTTGTTCAGTAATGCTACACAAATATGACAGATTTGACTTGAATTTGCTTTGGTTAATAATTATGCTTAAAAGACAAATTAAGGCAAAATGTTTCCCAGTATTGGAATGAAATGACCAACATGGAGTTTAATCCTTTTCCTGCATCCGCTGGATGCTTTTAGTTAATTCTCCTTACTTCATAAAAAAGAAGAATATTCATATAACTAACACTGTTCCGTTTCATGTGACACTGTTTACTTTTTAATCTGGTCCAAAAATAATGATACCTTTTTATATTTGGAAACAATTCGGCGTTGAACTTCTTATTTCACCCTTAATGACATAATTTTATAGCGAGACTAATGTCATGACATATTTAAGATCACAAGTTCCCAAAGTCATTTCTTTTTTCTTTGAACTATGTGCTTAGTCAAACAGTTTCACATAAATTAAGGTGGGAGTATATTATAGAGTGGTTGATTATATGTAGCTTTATTGATTTGATTGAGTGATTATTTTTGGTCAATAGGTTACTGGCTTTCTTGAAGGAGAGAGGGATTATAGTAACTTGAAAGGTGATACAGGGCCTCTAGTTTATCCAGCAGGCTTTCTTTATATTTACTCTGCTATTCAATACGTTACCGGAGGTCAAGTCTATCCTGCTCAGGTAATTTTCCTATTTTTTTTCCGGAATGTATAATCCTTGTTTCAGTGATTGCTAGTAAACTTACATGAGCGGTGCTAGTTTGAATCTAAAGAAAAAAAGTTAATTTGGAAGAGAATGCAAATGCAATTAATTGACTGTTCCCTCTCAAAATTGATTAGATTCTGTAGTGAAGTGACAACTCTGTTCTAGAAACAACAAAAGACAGATGTATTTTGTTTTTTCTGTATTAACTAAGAACAATGGAAGCATAGCATCCGGATAGATGACACCAACTAGCTATCGATGTAGAGATAAGTGAGAGATTTTCAAACCCTCTACTTTACCTTGAAAGGCAAATTCTTTAGTATTGGAATGAAATGTTCCTGAATAGAGTGCAATAATATAGTGGATGCATGCACCTGACTGGTCAATCCTAATCATTGGCATAGTTTATTATTGTGTTAAAAATGGGGACTCCTTTTGAGCTGTGGAAGGGGACCTTCCATTTTAACCTAGTGGAATTTCCATGCCTATTACAAATCCATCAAGTCACTTATTTTTATAAAGCAAACTAATCCACTCCTCTTTCCGTTCCTGTAAGCTGTTGTAACATAGAAGATTACCATAGTGGTGCCTAGTTAAACGATATTTGTGTTGCACTTTTAAACATTCGCCAATCCATCTAGATTTGGTGCAATAGCTTTTGAATTTGTATCTGCCCAGATGTTCGGATACAACACCGATCCCAACCCCCAACAGGAATCCATCTCAAAGTCTTTGGCTCAGATTGTGGGGAGGTGTTTTCCAATTCTGTCTTTCTTAGCAATTATGTTAGATTTGACAAGCTGAACTCTTGCTTACCTTCGACCTTGTCTCATTAGTTTTGGAACTCCAGCTAGCTCTTCATGCTCGTGAATCGTGGTGCACTTTTCTGTCAGGCTGCTGATTACTTTGGGCAATATTAAGGCTGTCCAACGGGATGGGTCGGGACGGGATGGGACGAAATTATCGGGACGGGATGGACTTTGACCGGGTCAGTGACGGGACGGGCCTTAAACGGGATGGGATAAGCGGGACGATCCGGTAGGCCCATCCCATCCCACTAACAAACGGGATGGGATAGGGCGTGGGCCCTAAGTGGGCCTTTTTAAAAAAAACCATTTAAATATTTAAGCATTAAATTTAGCAACAGTTTTTTTTATAGATAGCAATAGTTATTTTTTTAAAGTTGACAATGACTAAGTTTTTAAAGTTTGCAACGGCTAGTTTTTTGTCTTTTTTAATAAACTTAAAAATTAATAAATTATAAAGAAACTAAGTAAAGAATTATAATTATAATATATTAAAACAAAAGACTTGTAACGAAATATTTTAATAATTATAATAGACTTGTAATTTATTTAATATAATCTCAAGCTATAAAATAACTAAGTAAGACAATTCATAAAAAAAATACAAGGCTAAAGCCTTTTATTTTATTAAGAGAAGTTTCAAATTTCACATAAAAATACAAGTCTTTTGAGAGCACCTAATCTAAGCAACCACCTTCTAGGAAGGGTTATGTCTGAACTAGGCCTCTTAGTAGCTAATTACAAATTATCATACTAATGTTTGTAAGCTCCTATATAGCTTCGTTGTAACTGATTTAATTTCTCTATTGTTCTGGAATTGGCAATGTTGCTTGATGTTCCATGAGTTCCATGCCGTCATCGCTCCCAGTGCTAAGTATCTCATTGTATTCTTCTTCTTCTTCTCTAGCGGTTAATTTTTCAAAACCAAGATTTCTTCTTTCTGAATTAATCCAATCTCTGAATAAGACGAAAATCTCTAGGTTGTCCTCAGCTAATGAATGTCTATGATCTCCGATTTGAAATCTTGCCGCGCTAAAAGCACTCTCTGATGCTACTGATGATGCTTTGAATAGCCAATATATCACGCTCCCTCCACCATGCCAAAAGTTGTTTGTTGCCTTCTTCATCTTTAATACATTCCAATACCTGATTAAGATAAGAATCAAGTTCATCATCAATAGAGGAATCATGACCTGTTATATCCTCCATACCTTCCCATAGAAATTCTACTCTAGCCTTAGAAGTAGTAGGAGCATTTTCACCACCTGTTGTTGCCATAGATTTATAACTATCAAACATTGATCTAGCATAAAGTATATATGCTAGCTTGGCAGTCTTCGAGAGATGGCTGTTCATTTTCTTGAATTTCTAAATTCTCATAAAATTTTCGAACAAGTCCCTTTGCACCTCTTAATTTTAAAGACGGGTTAAGTAGAGTAGAAATTAAATAAACTTGGGGAACAGGGAAAAATACTTTTTAAATTTTGCAATCATTTTATTAACGGCCAGTGCATAAGTTATATTTGTTTTATACTTACCAAATACAACAGAAATTCCACAAATATACCATAATATTTGTGTAACAGTAGGATAATATATACCAGAAAATTATTTTGTAGCATAATAAAATTTTTCTCAAAATTTAGTAAGTTTTTTGATCTTATCTCAGCCAGACTCAAAAATTTAATCAGCGGGGATACCATTATGCATATTAAAAACCATTTGTATAGGCAACCGATAATCATAAGCAACTTTAACCATTTCATAAGTATAATTCCACCTGGTACAAACATCTTTTGGAATTTTTCTATATGGAAGGTCAGCATATGCACATTGTTGTTTAAACTCACGAATTCTACTCACTTTATTAGCACGAAAAATATAGCCGCAACCATGTTGTACTTTACCACAAGCATCAGAAAATAAATTAATACCATCTTTTACAACCAAGTTAAAAATATGGCATGCACATCTAACATGGAAAATTGCTGGATTAATTGGGCAAAGTCTAGCTTTTAAGCTAGTTGCTGCAGTGGTATTAGCAGAAGCATTATCTAATTTGATAGTTAAAACTTTATCAATGAGCCCATAAAAATCAACTATTTATAGAATAGTAGTTGCAATATATGCTCCTGTGTGTTTTGAATCAACAAATTTATAACCAATAATACGTTTTTGCATGTTCTAGTGATGATCAACCCAATGACATGTAATAGTTAAATAATCATTACCATTAGGACTATTAGGGTTGTGCACGAATTGGATCTGATCGGATTTAGCACATTTTGGATTCAAATTTCGAATTTCGTATTCTAGAAAATGGTATCCGAATCCGATACGAATTATATCGGATTGGATCGGATTTTAAAGTTTGGATCGAATCGGATTTCGGATCGTATTATATGCCTCAAAGTTAAACTAATATGTATATTTTCTTTGTAAAAGAGGCAATACATTAAGAAAAATTCATGTTTATGCAATTATGAGAGTACTATGGTGTCAATATAGCTAAATCTAGCAATTGTAAAAGTAATAACTTGGAGGTTGATGTAAAGGAAATACTGACTATCCGAAATTAAAGTGTAGTATATATACATGCCCTAATAATTTCGGATTTCGGATCGGATCGGATTAAAATATACCAATCCGAATCCGATCCGAAATCCGAAATTTTAATAAACACAATCCGAAATCAGATCCAATCCAAAATTGAATGGATCGGTTCGGATTTCGGATATGCGATCCGAATGAACAGCCCTAAGGACTATGACATATATTAGATGTGATAGACACTTTACGGTCTAAGTGAAAAAATATACAATGAATATACGGAAGATATTCAGTTTGAAATTTAAAAACATCATTTCTAACTGTGGTCTTAGGAAAATCTTGAAAAGCAGGATTATAAGTTTCTTGTATATAATGCACAAAACAGGGTGACAAGAAAAAGTAAAAGGTAAGCCACAAACATCAACCAATTTTGCTTAATTTTCACGATCTTTATCATTGCTATAGGGACGCAGTATAGTACCAGAAGTAGGGTGAAACTGTTGTTGGACAAAGTTAGAACCCCCGCCAGATCTAGTAGGAGCCCCAGTACCGCTGCTAGGATCCGATATTTTTCCGGCATCTACTCTGTTGACTTTATCATGCTCAAAAAATTCCATACAATTGATGTTTTCGTACATTCAGCCTTAGCCTTACCCCTTACAGGAGGTACAGGGAGTAAAGCTCCACACTGAGATTGACTCTAAGTTGGAGCTTGTGTTGCTGGACTAGTGGGTGTTTCATCTAATTCTTCTTCCTCATTAAAAATATCATTGCCAAATTGTCTTTGTAAAGTTTCATGATCTAGTTGTTTTTCCTAATTAATATTATAAAATGCGCGGGGGGGGGGGGGG